AGAGGTCAGCCGGGTGCAGCCCAGGTAGGACCTCGTGGGCATGCAAAGGAGGACAGACATTCAGTGGAACGAGTAGCTGCTGGAGGGTGTCTGGAAAGAAGGAACATGCTCTGCTTATAATTACTTAAGGAGCATGGGAATTTTTTTTAAAGTCATGTCTACAGCAACGTGGGGCTCGAACTTACAACCCCGAGATCAAGAGCCGCATGCTCTACAGACTGAGCCAGCCAGGTGCCCCTGAGAGTTGTGTTTTTTTACCGGTTGTTCTGGTCTATGATTTTTCACACGTCTTTGTGGGATCTATACGGCGAAGCCTGTAAAAGATTTCTAGTTCATTCTAGTTACCACAGCTGGTATTCTAGTAGTCACCCGGCGGCTAACAGTACCTTCTGTCACAATTTAACCTCCAAAGTAAAGTCATCCTTGTCTGTATCAAAACCTGTGATTGTCCAAAATAAAGCCCATGCTTAATACGTGTAGCTTTTTCTATTGTGCAAAAGCTCCTTACATGAAAAATAGAAATATTGGGGCACCTGGGTGGCTCAGTCGGTTAGGCGTCTGACTCTTGATTTGGGCTCAGGTCATGATCTCACGGTTCTTGAGATCAAAGCCCCTCCTCGGGCTCCGTGCTGACGGCATGGAGCCTGCGTGGGATTCTCTCTCTCCCTCTCCCTCTCTCTCAAAATAAATAAATAAACATGAAAACTTAGAAATATTTTTCAAACAGTGGTTTAAGGAATGGTGCGTTAAGATCTAAATGACGCAGGGGCCTCGTATGCGAGCCACGCAGCGTCTTGACGATTCAATTCTGTCTGTCGCTACTTAGCGTTCATTGTCCTTCTTCCTTTTTAGGAAAAACTATTAACGGCCCCACATTCCCTAACTCCCCCACCCCTCCCCACACCACTCGTCCGCTTTCTGGGGAAGTGAAGATTTTGACACTGGACCTAAGCATCTCGGAGGTTGTAGAGAAGCAGCAGGGGGATTCAGTCTGCCGCCTGTCACCTGAAGACCTTGACCAGAGCCAGCTTCTCATCCGCCTCAGACACAGTCTCTAGCCAGCTGACTAGCTAATGGTTTCCCCCTTTTCCCAACGACAGCTTTACTTACCTAAGTAGCTTCTGTTTGCCCGGAGACAAAGCGGGTCACGTTAACAGTAACGCTCTGGGTTTATGGTCCCCACCTCCACTCACGGCAGCGGGACCTGGCCCCTATCCCTCAGCCTTCCCATCACCCGTCCCATCAGGATGTCACTCTGACATTGTAAAGAAGTCATGGAGAGACTCTGACTTCCATCTTGCCGGCCCTCTCTCCTTCTCCCTCAGCCACTTGCTTCGAAGCCAGCTGCCAGGAGGTGAACGGCCCTCTGCAGAGGCCATGTGACAAGGACTGGAGGGACGCCTCCAACCAGCAGCCAGCAAGAAACGGAGACCCTCACTCGAAAACACACTAGGGACTGCGTCCTACCTGTGAATGAGCCTAGAAGCAGACCCGCTCCCAGAGGAGCCTGGAGGTGACCACAGTCCCTGGCGTCAACAGGCCCACCACCCACCGTTGGCTCTTTATACTCCCTTCGTCCTACAGCTCCTTTTTCCCAACACCCCGTGTCTCCCTGCCTGTGTATGTTCTACTTCCTCAGTGTAGAACTCTTCCCTTCCTCCTCCCCGCCCACTTTCTCGCTGTCTACGAAGCTTCCATTTACCCTTCGAGGTTCAACTCAACAATTGCCCCTGATATGGAGCCTTCTCTAGGTTCCTTCCTCCACATTTCCTCTACCGCTTGTGAACTCATCCACACAGCACTAGTGTGGATCCGACCCAGTCACATGACCAGGGCAGCACTGTGTGACAAGGCGAGCATGCAGGGTGGGTTCTTGACCAGGGTCAAACCCAGACGTAAAGAGAAGAGAACTATTTCCCGGTGGGTCCATGGGGGATGGAGAGCAGCTCAGCCTGTTCAAATAGAGACGGAAAGTCCAGATGAGAAGCAGCAGGGTCTGGATGGTTGGTCCAGCCACTCCTAGCTAAGGGTTTTCCCCAATATTCCAACGAGGAGCGTTTGCCAATTAAGAGCTCAAGTACCTCAGTGTTATTCTCGAGCATCTCCGCTTGGTCAACCTCGCTTCCTACTGTTGATTTTAGGCCTCATGTGCAAAGAATTCCATCAGATATTATTAGCCAGGCAGCCATTCGATAAGCATTAATTGAGTGCCTACTTCATGCATTGGGAATGCAGGGGTGGATAAGACAGACAACATTCCAGCTCTCCTGGAGCTTGCGTTCCAGCAGGGAACACAAGAACGAGTAGCTATATAAATAAATATAGTTATTAGAGTGTGATAATCGCTATGAAAGAAATGGACAGTGCTCTCCACTGCAGAGTAAGAGAGGAGCGCCTCTTAGAAACAGCGGTCAGGAAGGCACCTCTGAGAAGCGCATCTGAGTGGAGATCTGGAAGGCAGTGAGGTGGCCATGCCCATAGATGAGGAGGAGAATGTGGGGCACCCGGGCACCAGGAGTAGTGCAAAGACAGACACTGAGGAGAGGTGCTTGAAGTTGGGGGGTTGTGTAGACCTCGTTCTTTTAAAAAAATGTTTATTTATTTATTATTGAGAGAGAGAGAGAGAGAGAGAGAGAGAGAGCACAAGCAGGGGAGGAGCAGACACAGAATCTGAAGCAGGTTCCAGGCTCCGAGCTGTCCGTGCAGAGGCTGATGCCAGGCTTGAACCCACAAACTATGAGATCACGACCTCGGACGCTTAACCGACTGAGCCACCCAGGCGCCCCCGTAGACCTCATGTTAAAGCTCCAGTGCACGGAGACCAAGTTCCAGGCACCTGTTTTGCTATGGAGCTATACTAGGGCCTGGTGTTATTCTGAATACTGGCAGTAAGGGGCATAGCAATACATAAAAAGCATTTTTTTTGTCCTCTTGTAAAAACATCGTTGTGAAACTCACCAAAGGCCCATATTTTGCATGCTACCAGACTATACAGCCAAAACAGCCGTCAGATACCATCTAATCCAACCTCCTTTCAGATGAGAAAACTGAGGTCCAACAAGGTAAAATGGAAATCCCGTGGTCCACGACGTGACTGCGGCAGTGGTGAGATGAGAACTCCAAATGTGCAATTATGTACACTCTTCCCTTAACAGGTTAAGGCAGCTACTCAAGTTACTTGTATTTGTTTTGAAAATTATAAACCCGATCTTCCTCCTCTTAAATTTCTCCCTACCTAGTTTCCCGTCTAGCTTGAAACTCTTTCCAATTCAGTTGTTCAAAAGGAAACCGACTTTGATGAAGGGTTGTTCACACTCCCCTCACCCCAAGGTGAAACCAGTGTGTGCAACGGCGTTCTTTGTCTACGAGAGGGAACTGAAAACTCCCGTTCACAGTAAACAGTCTTGTTTCTATACAGAAGTTCTCACTGAGTAGCCTGAGAATCTGCTCGGCTGAATAAGGGGAGGGTGAGTTTGAAAGCAGAGGCCGGACTTTGGCTCACATACCTGTTGCCTACACCTGCTCACATGACTGGCCCAAAGCGGCTGAATGAAATTACTTCACCCGTGTTGAACAGCTCAGCCTCAGAGGGCCAGGTATCTGCCAGAGCTGGATTTACAAAGCTGACGAACTCTTGCACAAGCATCACCACGCAGCATTTATAACAATTAAGATGGGGGTTTAAAGCCAGGCCACAAAGAGTAGGATTCACTCCAGGAGCTGTGACCAAAGCTTATGGGTACAAAGAAAGTAGGTCAGGTGGTATGAACTTATTTACCGATTCCTAGAATATCATCATGAGAAGGTGTCCGGATGGGAGTGAAGTAGCTGTGCCCACCGCTGAGCGAACAGCACACGGGGCACAGTGAACAGAGCTCACAATGCTCTTCCTGGAAGAAGATTCTTAGGAGCATGGCCTGAGAGGGGCAGTAAGGGTGAGAGATTTGTGAAAGCACTGACCCCTCAGATGACTTAACAGGTCCATAAGTGGTTTCGAGAAGTTCAAATTTGTGCATGAACACCGAGAGTCCACCAACAATCCCTTAGTGTCTCTGAGAGACTCCTGGGCCAGGAGCAGCTTGTAAGGTGCTAAACTTGGGGCCTTCTGTCTTTCCCAGTTTGGTACGGAGAGTGAGGTAAACAGAAAAGAGGAGCATAGATAGAAAATGCAGCATTTCTTCTCACGTAGCTGTCGGATATCCGTATCCAAAGGTATTCTCAAAAGGCGTGTGTGTGTGTGTGTGTGTGTGTGTGTGTGTGTGAAGACGCCCGCCTTCTCCTAGCAGGATGATTTAGGCGACTTCCCTAATTTCTCTAAGCCTCAGCAAACCTCGCACTGGGGACAGTTTCCCGGCCCTGAAAGAGGCGGCGGACAGGTGCGGTGGGGAGGTGCTAAACAAGTCCCCGCCCCAGTAGGTAGCCCAGCACGCAAGGGACCCGCCCCCTGCTCTCCCCCCGGCTCCGATTGGCCCCCGCGGAGGGGGCGGGGCCGGCCTGCGCCGCGGTGGGCGGGGCCGGGCGCGCTCGGCTAACCCCGGGCGCCTGTGGGTGGCGGGGCTGCGGCCTCTCGCAGCAGTCACCGCCATGGCCGGCCGAG